GTGGTGAGTGGTGAAGGAGGTGTGGTGTGTGTGGTGATAGATACGACCACGCGACACAATTATGATCACTTACCACTACTACAACCCACACCACTAGTACGACTACACAACCATTAGTACAACCACACGACCACGAAACAACCACACGACCATTAGTACGACCACACTACCACTATTACGACCACATAACCACAACACGACCACCAATACTAGACAACCATTTCAACGACCACACTACCACTACTACGACCACATAACCACACTACGACCACTAGTACGACCACGACACCAAAGTAATCAAGACTTACAGCAGGTCATCAACAGACTGATATAACCTTCCTTGATTGTCCCGCCTCCTGGCTAATAAACTCTCCGCCACCTCTTACGTTGAGAAGTTAAATTGTCCCTTAGCTGTATATAAAGAGACTATATCTCGCTACGATAGATGAACAAAGAGACAGAGATAGATAGAGACTCCTACTTGACCATCGAGTGAAGTAGGTTTAGGATTTTTCGTAACTTGCGACAAAATATTCACCTAGGTTAAAGTGAGTCAGTCACAACCAACCATCATGGTATCGTAACCAGTTGAGTCAGTTCAAGATATTCTCGTAACTATAGAATTTAACCCCTAAGATCATCTGTAAATAAGGAGGAAAAAGACTTGTATAAGACTTTGCTAAGTAACTCAGGTACTTGAGATCCTTTGAGGCGACCCTGTGTGTGTGTGTGTGTGTGTGTGTGTGTGTGTGTGTGTGTGTGTTTCTCCTCAGTTTCTGCCTCCTTCCTCCATCTCTCCCTCACTCACAGGAGAAGTGAGGAATCAAATTTTTTTTTTTTTTTTTTTTTTTTTTTTTTTTTTTTTTTTTTTTTTTTTTTTTTTTTTTTTTTTTTTTTTTTTTTTTTTTTTTTTTTTTTTTTTTTTTTTTTTTTTTTTTTTTTTTTTTTTTTTTTTTTTTTTTTTTTTTTTTTTTTTTTTTTTTTTTTTTTTTTTTTTTTTTTTTTTTTTTTTTTTTTTTTTTTTTTTTTTTTTTTTTTTTTTTTTTTTTTTTTTTTTTTTTTTTTTTTTTTTTTTTTTTTTTTTTTTTTTTTTTTTTTTTTTTTTTTTTTTTTTTTTTTTTTTTTTTTTTTTTTTTTTTTTTTTTTTTTTTTTTTTTTTTTTTTTTTTTTTTTTTTTTTTTTTTTTTTTTTTTTTTTTTTTTTTTTTTTTTTTTTTTTTTTTTTTTTTTTTTTTTTTTTTTTTTTTTTTTTTTTTTTTTTTTTTTTTTTTTTTTTTTTTTTTTTTTTTTTTTTTTTTTTTTTTTTTTTTTTTTTTTTTTTTTTTTTTTTTTTTTTTTTTTTTTTTTTTTTTTTTTTTTTTTTTTTTTTTTTTTTTTTTTTTTTTTTTTTTTTTTTTTTTTTTTTTTTTTTTTTTTTTTTTTTTTTTTTTTTTTTTTTTTTTTTTTTTTTTTTTTTTTTTTTTTTTTTTTTTTTTTTTTTTTTTTTTTTTTTTTTTTTTTTTTTTTTTTTTTTTTTTTTTTTTTTTTTTTTTTTTTTTTTTTTTTTTTTTTTTTTTTTTTTTTTTTTTTTTTTTTTTTTTTTTTTTTTTTTTTTTTTTTTTTTTTTTTTTTTTTTTTTTTTTTTTTTTTTTTTTTTTTTTTTTTTTTTTTTTTTTTTTTTTTTTTTTTTTTTTTTTTTTTTTTTTTTTTTTTTTTTTTTTTTTTTTTTTTTTTTTTTTTTTTTTTTTTTTTTTTTTTTTTTTTTTTTTTTTTTTTTTTTTTTTTTTTTTTTTTTTTTTTTTTTTTTTTTTTTTTTTTTTTTTTTTTTTTTTTTTTTTTTTTTTTTTTTTTTTTTTTTTTTTTTTTTTTTTTTTTTTTTTTTTTTTTTTTTTTTTTTTTTTTTTTTTTTTTTTTTTTTTTTTTTTTTTTTTTTTTTTTTTTTTTTTTTTTTTTTTTTTTTTTTTTTTTTTTTTTTTTTTTTTTTTTTTTTTTTTTTTTTTTTTTTTTTTTTTTTTTTTTTTTTTTTTTTTTTTTTTTTTTTTTTTTTTTTTTTTTTTTTTTTTTTTTTTTTTTTTTTTTTTTTTTTTTTTTTTTTTTTTTTTTTTTTTTTTTTTTTTTTTTTTTTTTTTTTTTTTTTTTTTTTTTTTTTTTTTTTTTTTTTTTTTTTTTTTTTTTTTTTTTTTTTTTTTTTTTTTTTTTTTTTTTTTTTTTTTTTTTTTTTTTTTTTTTTTTTTTTTTTTTTTTTTTTTTTTTTTTTTTTTTTTTTTTTTTTTTTTTTTTTTTTTTTTTTTTTTTTTTTTTTTTTTTTTTTTTTTTTTTTTTTTTTTTTTTTTTTTTTTTTTTTTTTTTTTTTTTTTTTTTTTTTTTTTTTTTTTTTTTTTTTTTTTTTTTTTTTTTTTTTTTTTTTTTTTTTTTTTTTTTTTTTTTTTTTTTTTTTTTTTTTTTTTTTTTTTTTTTTTTTTTTTTTTTTTTTTTTTTTTTTTTTTTTTTTTTTTTTTTTTTTTTTTTTTTTTTTTTTTTTTTTTTTTTTTTTTTTTTTTTTTTTTTTTTTTTTTTTTTTTTTTTTTTTTTTTTTTTTTTTTTTTTTTTTTTTTTTTTTTTTTTTTTTTTTTTTTTTTTTTTTTTTTTTTTTTTTTTTTTTTTTTTTTTTTTTTTTTTTTTTTTTTTTTTTTTTTTTTTTTTT